CAGTAACAGTATGCCTTAAACTACAGGGTTAGTTTGAATTTTTGGCACAGCAAATAAAATGGTTGGACTTAATAACATTTATAAATAAGCAAAATGATCAACTGTAGCAATTGATTTAATTGCCTTCAAGTCAGACAAGCAAGGATTTCTTGTTTAAAAATAAAAAAAGGTTATAGTAGGACAGTTTAAACTAATTGCTTCATTCAACAGTTCGTACATACTAAATGTGCACCAGAAATACAAAGTACAATCTTCACACTTCTTGTTCTCCACAACACTCAGAACTCTCGTACAGATTGATGTTCGAAATGAATTCATTCAGCAAATACTGTGTATCTAGGATGTGCCACTAGTGGTTGACTGCTGATACACACCCAGCTGGCTCATTTCTGTAAATGCGTGCTTCTTGGGTGTTCCAGATATGTTCAAACTTTTCATGGGTTACTAGAAATTGAAATTGGAAAAGTATGTTTTGTTCCTCTAGCATATAAATATACAGTGATTTCTTAATTAGAAAAAGTAAGGTTAAATTCACTGTTCTACATAAGGCAATAGAATTTATTTTTCATGAGGAAAACTGATATACTGACAGATTTTTCCCCTGCATATTTCTAAGTAGTATTTCTTTTGTTTGTTTGTTTTGGTTTTTTTGAGATAAGGTCTCACTATGTAGTTGAGACTGACCTGGAACTCACTATGTAGCCCAGGCTGGTCTCGAACTCACAGCAATCCTCCTGTCTCAGCCTCCCTAGTGCTGGGAGCGTGCACCACCATGCCCAGCTCTAAGTCATATTTCAAAGCCTCTGTTTTCACTTAATTTTAGGTATCATACAAATATCACTGTAATAGTAAGTTAAACTAGTTTTTTTTTTGTAAGTTAAACTAATTTTTTTTTTTTTGAGATAGGGTCTTGCTATGTAGTTCAGTCTTGAACTCATTATGTATCCCAGGCTGGCCTCAAACTTGCAGCAATCCTTTTGCCTCAGGTACAGAGGATTACAAGTGTGTACCACCAAACCCAGCATAACAAAAATCTTAAGGGGGGAAAAGGCCTCCTACATATTAGCTTTTAGTTTTATGTTTTATTTTAATTATTTGTGTGATAGCACTGGGGATTGAATCCAGAGACTCAAACCTGAGAGTCAAGAAATCTACCGTAAAGCTACCTCCTCAGCACTGCAGTTTATTTTGAGATACGGTCTTGCTGAGTTGCCCAGGCTAACCTTGAACTTGTGGTCTCCTGCTGCAGCCTCCAAAGTACCTGGGATTACAAATATGCCCCACTACTCTCAGTGTTTTAGACCATTAATTTACTACTAAGAATGCTTTTACCTGCCAAGGACCTCTGGCAAGTTTTGTACTCATTTTTTTGTTGTCAAAGTAGAATAAGAGCTTAGGGGGAAACTACTAGTTCTGGGTTATAGATAGAATCCTGCTTTAAGAGGGCCTTGAATCCAAGGAGTATGAACTTTATGAGAATAGGGCTGTATGGAATCTGCAAAGGTCATTTGCAGGGTGGAGATGAGGATTTCTTTGAGGGAGGATTTAAACTGACCCATTGATCATGAAGGTCTGAGATAACATAGGATGGTCTGGTTTACAGGATTTAATAACTTAACATCCTTCAACAAAGTAGGATTATAGATAAAGAAGATAAAAAAGGTGACTGCACATTCACCTTGGGGGTTTCATGAATGCTGAAATCATTAATCAGGAAAGAAAATACGTTAAAGAGTGGAAATGGAAATAACTTTTCTTCAAACATACTGTTTTTGAGGTACCCATAGAACATATAAACTTGTTTGTTTTCCCCCAGGAGCTTATGAAATATTTTATCTGAATGTAATTATAAGGAATGGTACAAAGGACATATAGTGGTTAAAGTTAGAATTCTATTTCTGCATACACCAGTTATTACTTGTAAAGCCTTCAAAGTTTTACTTCTTTTTTATTTTCTTTTTTCCATCTGTGATTTTTGGATTGTGGTGATAGAAATGTACCTCTTTGAAAGGTTGATATAACTGTTGTTGAGCTAAAGAATAAATAATTAGGTATTATATGACATTTGAAAAATTGTAGTAAATATTCTGGAGGCTATACCAACCCTTTTCCTTGATAAATATCTGTGTACCTAAGTTAGGTTCCTAAGATAACTCATTTTGATAGTATTTGAATAGCATTGGCTGAGTTGTATGTATTGCCTCTAGTATACTTTAGGTAAGCTTTTGTTTTTAGTTCTTGACTTTTCATTACTCACATATGGTGTTCACCTACTTTAGCATCATAAGAAGAGTTTGTCTTTCTCTTTATGTCCAGATCTTTTGTGCTAGGTACTGTTTATGCTTTCAATAATAAAAATAAAATACCTCCCAAAATAAAACATGCTACTTTTAAAATGTTCACTGAAAATGCATTAGCTAATAAACACGAAAAGAAAAACAGCTGCAAAATGTTTGTCACTGCATTATTGCTTCAGTGTTCTTCATTGAGCCTTCTCTGTCACTTCCTTGAGCAGGAAGCATGTAAAGTTTCTTAGGATTTTTGCTATTAACACCTTGTACAGATCTTTTTCCTTTAATCCATTTAGTACAGGATCTACTTAGTACTGGCCTGTGTCCCAGAAGACCATCAGAGATAAGGCTATTATCCTTTCATTGACTATTATCCTGGGAAAGTATTTATAAAACCAAACTCAGTTGCACCTGCTGTCTTCCTTTCTTAAATGACGAAAGGGTGAGAATGGAGATTGTGTTCCGTGAATTCAGATGAAGCAGTGTGTTTGGCAGCACTGACACAAAGTGCTTTAGTTGATGTCTTTTATATTTTGCAAATGGATTCCATCTTGGACTCTGAAAGAAATGAGTTGACAATTCAGATCAAGAATTGACAGTACCATACCAAAAAAAAAAGAATTGACAGTCATGTTGGGTACTGCGCAGTTACTGGCACAGTTGCTGTTTTTACATAAGCAATTCTGAAGTAGAACTCGTAGCTCTTTTAAGATTAATCTGAAATGTTTATTTGCCATTGCTGTCATACTCTCTTCAAAATTTCCATAAATAGAAGCCAGTGGCATTTATCTTTAAACATGAACAATTTTAGAAGAGTTAAATATTTAATTTTTTTTTCTTGTGCTACTGGTATTGACCCCTACAGTATGCTAGGCAAATGCTCCAGTCTTGAGCCATATCCCTAGCTCATTATTTTTGAAATACTGGTCATTAAAATGGAGAATAGTCAAAAGGAAGTTTTAACATTTAGCCTCTTATTGAGTCTGTCAAAAACTGAAAAATCTTAGAGAACAATAACATATAACTTTCAGGTTTGTCTTTCAAAATATTTTTTACATTTTCAAATTACTTGAATTATCTTTACTTAAAATATATGCTATATGTGTAAATATGCTTTTATGGTCCATATATTTAAACACTTAGCAGGTGGTTTGAGCCAACCTTATTGGGTTGTCAAGTTTTTGGCTTTCCAAAAATTATTTTGATTGATAAAACAAGATATAAATGAAATAAATTAATTCCCAATTTTTTGTTCCAACAAATCTGACCATATTCATTTTTTTAAATTCCTATCCATTTTCTGCTTATGTTCTCATATGTCTTTTTCATAATTAATTCAGTGTTGATATCTGCTATTTTTGTCTCATAGTGTATTTTAAGATTTTTCTGTATGTGGTACAATGTAAAAGTCCATTGTCATAATACAGATGCAAAGCTATTCTGGTCTTATTTAATAATAAAATATTCTTCCAGATTAGAAATCTGGTAGGAACTTCAATTAATCAAATATAAATGGTTTATGTGACAGTGCAGTAGATGCTCAACAGAATTAAGAGCTGGAGCCCAGATCCTTCCAGTATTCTAATTACTATATTATAAAATTAGGTCAGTAAAATAATACTAGTTTTGCTGGATTGTATCCATCTATATTTTCAATATTATTTAGATATTTTAGCATATGGTCAGAAAATAGATGGTTCTTTGCTTAATCAATCCAAGATTAAATTTAAGCTATTTTAAACTGAAAACTGAGAATCACTTTTGCCAATTTATCAATTTGTTCAGTGTTTTTATAGTTAGAAGTGTTTCTGCTTTATAAAAAATATTTTTTCTGAATGTATGTGCTATATGCAGCAATCTTAAGTATTCAGTAATGGGAAACACAGGAAAGAGTGACAGAATGTGTGGTTGAGCATGGGCTTTGTAGTCAGTGATGTATTTAACCCCAGCTCTACTACTTACTAGCTCTGGTTCTTGGTTCTTGGGTAGGTGGTCTTATTGCTTAGCTTCTATTTCCTCTAAATTTTCCTCTTTTTTTTTTTTTTTTTTTTTTTTTTTTTTT